ACCCAAACTTCATGGTCCACAGCCCCGACTCTTGGTTCATCCTGCTCATCTCGGGGGCTGCTCATTTCTCACCCCCGTCTGCTGCTCCGGGCCCCTTGCTAAGTAGATTCTTTCCTGCTTTGGACCCACTGGAGCCCTCCTGGCAGTGCTGGCAGGGACACGAGGGACAACGAGAAACAAGCGTTCTATGTCCCGGCCCTAGAGCTCTCTGCATTTTTATGGTCGTAACATTCTGGGGAGTGGACAGCAGACCCCTTCTCCTCTGGCTGCCCGCAGAGCAGGACACAGGTGCGGAGGGACAGGGAGACTCACCCAGCTCCTGCTCCCAGCCTATCTCCCCTGTAACAGTGCCCCATTCACAGGGCCCCTCCCTCAACACTCGAAGTCACTCCTCCCCGCCTTGCCCTCCTCAGACATCACATGCTTCAAGCTCCTGGTGCTGTGCACCATCCCAAATCACTCTCCCCTAAAGGATGACGCTCTGCCAAGCAATCTTCCGCCTTTATAAGATACACTTGATGTTTTAAAATTATGTTCTTTCAGCTCTTTCTGTCCCAAACAAGAGGGGAGGGGTGTTTTCGCACAGTTAGACCCACTGCCAGGAGGGTCTGTGATGAGGGGTCTGGGAGTCGGGGACCCTGCTTTGACTCCCCAGCTCCTCAGTGCTGCCCTGAGCTCCCACCCCCATTGTTTCCTGAGCTGGGTGGACCAGTGTCCAGCCACTCAGGTCTTTGGACAGCAGGAGCCCAGGAGGTCCTATTCTGGGGACAGGAACGGACAGGTCCTGGAGAGGGGCTCTCTGGGGACTCCCATCCCAGAGTCCCGGGAGACCCTGACGAGGACAGAGACTGCTGGGGACAAAACTGCCGGAAGACTTGCTGGAAATGGGCCCGGGCTTGATCCTGTGCCCTCGGGGCCATACACTGACCAGTGCAGGACCAACGCAGGGCCTTTTCTTACCGTCCGTTGCGCTCTGCCAATTTCCAACGTTCCCCTAGAAATGACCCCTAGAGGTGACCCGTAGATGACCCGTAGAAGGGTCAACATCCGGACTTGAGCCCTAGATGACCCCTCGAAGGGTCAACAGGGGGAAGGTGTGTTGGGGCCACTTCTCCCTCAAGCATCCTTGAGAAAGGGTGCCCCGAGGGTCGGGGCCACGAGCTTTTTTATAGGCAGGGAAGGGGGTGTGGCCTCGGGGCTGCAACCCCATTGGCCAGGGAGAAATCTAGAGCTCCAAGGGGTAACCTCACAATGAAGGCTGCAACAGCCTCTGCCCTGCTGGGCCTGACGGGCCTCCCCGCCCCCACCCGGACCCTCGGGCACTGCCCACTACCGATGATGGTGGCTTGGAACTCTGTGGGCCCCACGGTGGGCCAGGAGCACTGACCCTTTCGGTCTCCCGTAGCTCAGTCCACGACGTTCTCATTCCCAGAGATCACGTCCCCCCATGCCCAGGCTGGGCTGCAGCTGCCAGGATTAGCCCCTGAGCACCCCTAGGTCTGGCCGGGCTGCTGCTGTGGGAGCCCAGCGAGCCTGGCAGAGGGGCTGTCCTGGTCGCTGTCCCCACCTCCCGTCACTCCCCAGGCCCCTCTCCTTTCTCTCCTTGGAGACCCTGCCCTCCCTGCCCTTCCTCTATCCTCTCCTCAGGTCCGCAGAGTTCTTGCTCCCGCCTTATCCGGTGTCCACGTTCTCTCTGTCCTCTCACTGCTTCCTCCCAGACTGGCAGCAGCCAGTTTGTGGGGCCATGAGCCCCCAGACCCAGTCAGTCCCTGACCAATTCCCCCTGTTGCTCAGAGACTTCCATTTTTAAGTCCTGGAGGGCTCTTAATGACCCCATAGAACCTCCCAACCCCAGCTCTGCCCCTTTCTCTGAGGCTCAGTCCATCCTACTGGGAGCTGGACACCAGTCTTGGCCTTGGGGAAGCTGGACACTTCTCTGGTGTTGCTCCCAGCCTGTTCTGGAAATCCCTCTCAATACACACACTCCCAACTTGGGCCACTCAGCCTGGCCACGCTGCCCTCACGAGTCCTGCAGCCTGAAAGGAACCCCAACTCCCCCATATCGCCCGTGCCCACTATGGCATCCATGAATGCACCTGTCCTACCTGCCCTGAGCACATTCAGGCCCCAGTGTTCTCCGGCTGTCTACTGTAGCTCTGACATCTCCCCCTCTCACTTTCGCTGGGCTGAGAATCAAATCCATCTCTGATGGTGGGGCACAGGGTCACTGTGGGCTTGTGCTGTCTGGGGAGCCTGTGAGCAGTGAAGGGTTCCACACTGGGGTGAGGTTCTGGGCAGAGAAAGTCCATCCAGTCCTTGAGAGGTTTGGGAAATACCTGGAGGTTTGCAGGTCCTTTACCAGAGGCATGATCTGGCCACTAGGGGGCCTGGCACCCATGAAGCATTGGGGGCAAGGTGGGGGCTCTTCCCGGTGGGCACTGCAGAGGGGGTGTAGATGCAACAGGCACCATGGGTATGGGCATGTCATGTCAGGTTCTGATCCATGGGGAGACCCCCACAGGACGGCTCATTCTTCATCAAGAACCATGAGCCGTTCCCTGGCAGGACCCACCCACCCAATGCCACACACCCACACAGGCTGGGATGCATCCATTTGTAGAAACAATCTTGGAAACAGGACAGTGGCTGTCAGGGAGACTGATTCAGCCCTCTCCCCTCTCTCTCCTCTGCCACCAATTCATGATCCCCGAAACTGTCCCAGGTAGTGCCTAGAACTCAGTTGCTGACTGTTCCAGCCTCCATCCTTTTCAGGACTTCCTTTCCCAGAATAGAAACAGTGCACTGGAGGAGGGGGAGCTCTCGGCTCAGACTTTTGCTTGGTCTGTAGCCCATGAACCGAAGGTTTGAGTGTTGCCTCGTTTTCCCTGGGCCAAGGAGGGGTAGATGGTTGTAGCCAAGTGCCGATTTGGAAATCAGATGCTCTGAATCAGTGTTTCCTCTAAGCACTGAGATCCTTCCAAGTACTGCTTCATTGACCCTCATGGCCTGTGTACATACCTGAGAGGTTTGGGGTTTGTGGGGATCTCTATTTGCTCCAGCCTTTGTGATCAGCAGACCCTGTGGTGCCAGGGAACGTTCTTGACCTCAAGCATCCCAAGCCTGTACTGAGTCTCTTGAGACTTCTTTCTGGCCTTCTGGACCGAATTTTAACTCAAAAAGTGGAAAATGCCCTGGACCATGCAAGGACAGTCCACAAACCGGAAATATCTCAACATTTAGGTACTAAAGCAGGGGTGAGAGGCATTCTCCACTCCTCTCTCCTGGGGTATCGTCTAAGGTGGGGTGTGGGGAGGTGGTCATTTCTTATTGCTACTCTTTGGACTATTTCTATGGGGGTCAGTATTTCTGCTCTGGGGACTTCTAATTGTGAAGTGTTGGAGGACATGTCTCCTACCTGATCTCTGTTCTCTGTTGTGGGACATTTCACCCCCCAGAGCTCTTGTGTCTAGTATTGGAAAACAATTTCCCCAAAATCCCTAGTTTTTTATTTCTGGAGGAAATTTCAGCTCTGCTCATACCTGGTGCCAAGTTATTGTGAACATTTCTGTCCCTGGAACCCTGCTGTCTATTGTTACGGGAAACCTCTGCACCCCATGTTACTGGTGCCTACTGCTTAGGGCCTTTATTTGCCTCCCAGACCACTAGTGTCTATTAGTAGGGGACATATCTGCCCCCCACATCCCCGGTGCCCAGTGTTGGGGGACATTTCTGCCTCCAGATGCACAGTCCTCCCCACACCGCCAGCTTGTCCTTCTTGACTGTTACCACCTCCAGCTCCTCGGGCTTTATGATCTCCACTGTGTTTGCCTCCACTTCAGTGCCCTTAGATTGACTGAAACTGGATAGACTGAGGGGCAGCCCCAGGCTCTCAGCCAACCAAGGGAGGTGGAGGGCTCGGGGGCAGAGTCAGCCTGATTCTGTCCTCCCCCACCCCGGGTATCCTGCCTCCTGACCCTCATTGGGGGCTTCTCCCTCCTAAGGACACTGACATTCACAATTTCAGGACACCTTTGTGTCAAAGCAGCAGCCAAGTCCTGTAAACAACCTACATAATCATGCTGTGACCTGCTAATGCCTCTTTGGGGGATAGCTGGGTAGAGCCGGCACACATGGAATACACTGGGATGCTTCCGGCAAACTCTTGGGTGCCACCTGTGTCTTGGCGAGACTCTGCAAGATCCTAAGAGGAAAAACTCCCAAGACAGTCTTTCAATGTCCAGGGAGAACAGCTCTCCCCACCGGCAAGGGTGAATAGGGGAGAGCCTCTGATCCCCACAGTCTCTCAGCTCCCCAAACCTGGACTTGGTGTTTCCCGATCCCAGGAACCCAGAGGCAGGACACGGGGAGCTAAGCCTAGAGCTCCAGTAGAGGCTGCGAGAGGGTATGAAGGACATGTGTGAGGTGTGTAGAACCGTGTGAGTGAACTGGCGACCCCAGGCCCATGGTGCAGGTAGAGGGGCAGGGCTATGAACTGGGCACCGAAGGGTAAACCAGGAGCTGCCCTTGCCTGCCCTGGGCAGCCTTACCAGGAGTGTGAGTCTCAGTAGGAATGTGACAGGCAGGAAGGGGCATGGCTGACCAAATTCCTGGAACTTACTGGAACAGGATGGTTCTTCCTTCTGAGGCGCTGCCATCTGCTCTGACCCATAGATCTGGACACACTTCTTCTCACCAGTAGAGTGTCATTCAGCCAAGGCTGTACAACAGGTCTGGGTGTGCAGGAGCAAAGAGGAGTCAGGGCCTGATGCTTTCTTACATGGGGTCTGGCCGGACTGCTGACAGGTGACAGTGGGACTTGTATTAGGGAATCTGATGGTCCACAAAGAAGTGGGGCGCTATTATCAGGGATCAGCTCCATACAGACTCGGGGACACTAGAAACATGTTCCATCCACGGCCCCATCCTGCTCCACTGATAACACACTGTCTTCCTGCCGGGACGGGTGCCATGGAGAGGGACCCTGGCTAAGGGGACAGCACCTTGGACCCACCTGCTGTAGGAACACTTTCAAGTCCTCATCATGAGAAACCTGATGTGGCCACTAGGGGGCAAAGTGGGGTCTGTCCCTGGTGCCACTGCAGAGTGGAATGGGGAAACAGGCACCAGGGGTGAGGGGAGGATATGGAGGTGCTGCAGTGGAAGGCAGGGCTCTGGGTGCTGCATCCTGCCCTCCGTCCTGGGGACGCATCTGTGATTGAGACCTTCAACCCTTGGGGTGGACTCTCCTGGGGTCATTGACAGGCTTCACACAGGGGCAGGCAGGTGAAGCGTCTTGGCATGGTGACATGGCCAAGGCTTCCCACAATCTAGAAGCAATTGTCAACTACTGGCCAGACCTGCCCCGCCCAGTGACACACACACCCACACAGGCCTGGGATAGATCCATTTATTGCAACAATCGTGAAAATCAGACAGTGGCAGTCAGGGAGAAAGCCCACCTTCCTCCTTCCCCTCTTCTCAGCCAGCAATACAAAGTCCCCAAACAGCCCCAAAGAGTGTGTAGAATCCGGCCACTGTATGGTACCAGCGGCCAAGCTTCAGGGCTGTCATGCGCAGAAACAGGACCCCACAATGGGGAGCGGAGAGCTGAGTTGTGACTTCTGACCTCCAAATCATTGTTTGCTAATGCTGGGGGGATATATCTGCCATCCTGATCCCTCGGATCTTGTGGAGAGGGACATTTCTTCCCCACTGTTTCCTGGGGACTAGTGTGTGTGTGGGGGGGGTAACATCTCGGCCCTTCTGATCCCTCGGACCTTGTGGAGGGGGACATCTCGGCCCCCCCGATCCCTGGCGTCTAGTGGTGGGGGGGACATCTCGTCACCCCCCAATCCTGGCATCTAGTGGTGGGGGGGCATCTCTGGCCCCCCCGATCAATCGCGTCAAGTGTTGGGGGGCATCTCTGGCCCCCCCATCCCTGGCATCTAGTGGTTGGGGGAGCATCTCTGGCCCCACCGATCCCTGGCGGCTAGTGGTGGGGGGCATCTCTGCCCCCCCCGATCAATGGCGTCTAGTGGTGGGGGGGCATTTCTGGCCCCCCCTCGATAAATGGCGTCTAGTGGGGGGGGGAACTCTGGCCCCCCCCAATCCCTGGTGTCTAGTGGTTGCGGGGCATCTCTGGCCCCCCCATCCCTGGCATCTCGTGGTTGGGGGGGCATCTCTGGCCCCCCCGATCCCTGGCGTCTAGTGGTGGGGAGGCATCACTGGCCCCCCCGATCCCTGGCGTCTAGTGGTGGGGGAGCATCTCTGACCCCCCCGATCCCTGGTGTCTAGTGGTAGGGGGCATCTCTGCCCCCCCTTGATGCTTGCCGTCTTGTGGGGGGGGAATCTCTGCCCCCCCCGATCCCTGGCGTCTAGTGTTGGGGGGGCATTTCTGGCCCCCCGTCGATAAATGGCGTCTAGTGGTGGGGCGGCAACTCTGCCCCCCCCGATCCCTGGCGTCTAGTGGTGGGGAGGCATCACTGGCCCCCATGATCCCTGGCCTCTAGTGGTGGGGGGGCATCTCTGACCCCCCCGATCCCTGGTGTCTAGTGGTGGGGGGCATCTCTGCCCCCCTTGATCCTTGCCGTATTGTGGGGGGGAATCTCTGCCCCCCCGATCCCTGGCGTCTAGTGGGGGGGCATCTCTGGCCCCCCCATCCCTGGCGTCTAGTGGTGGGGGGGATCTATGGCCCCCCCGATCCCTGGTGTCTAGTGGTGGGGGGCATCTCTGCCCCCCTTGATCCTTGCCGTCTTGTGGGGGGGAATCTCTGCCCCCCTGATCCCTGGTTTCTAGTGATGGGGGGGCATCTCTGGCCCCCCCATCCCTGGCGTCTAGTGGTGGGGGGGCATCTTTGCCCCCCCCGATCCGTGGGGTCTAGTGGGGTAGACATTTCTGCCCCCCTGATCCCACGGTCTAGTGCAGGGGGAAACTGTGCCCCCTGATACCTGAGGGGTCCAGGGGTGGGGACATTTCTTCCCCCACATCTCTGGGTCTAGTGGAAGGAGACTTTACTGTCCCCCTGATATCCTGTGTATTGAGATGGAGAATAGTTGTGGCTTTGCCCTGATCCCTGGTCTTGCAGTGAGGGATCTCCCTGGTTCTAGTAGAGGAAGAAGAGCAAAGGGCCAAGGCGGAAGGCAGAACTCGGGTGGCATGGGGAGGACGGGGCTGGGCTAGATCAATTGGGTGAGAGCAGCAGGGTGCGTAGGTGCCGTAAAATCGAGGTGTCAGCTGGGTGTCAGGCTGCCAGTGGAGCTCTTGCTGACCAGCTGCGTTTTCTGGATTTTCGGCGGGTCATTACAGGACCTGGGTCCGATGTGGGTGGACTCCTCTTCCTTAAGGACAGCAACAGGAGCGTCTCTGGATCTCACACAGGCCATGGTCCCTGCCCCCTGGGACTTGACTGACTCCTCCAGCTCCTGGACTCTGGCACTCCTCCTGCCTGGCCTCCTGTGCCTCCTCCTTGTCTGTGGCCTCCAGCTCCTCACGTTTTGTGTCCAGGAGCACCTGTGTGTTGTTCGTCTCCACGCCAATCCCTTTGGAGTGGATGGGATGTGGGGCAGCATTAGGGTCTCAGCCAAGCAGGGGAGGTGGGGGGCTGGGGGTGGGGCCGCCAGGCTCCCCTCCCCAGTAGCCCCGCCCTCTGACCCACAGGGGCTTCTCCCTGTCACTCACCCTTTTCCGGGACTCCTTTCCACTTTACCAGGTTCTGCAGCTGCTGTTTCTGCTGCTGAGTCCCACAGAAGAGCACCTGGGGTGAAGGCACTAGGTGAGGAGGCAGGTCTAGGGCCTTCCTGCCCCAGAGCCCGTGGCCCCTCTCTCACCTGGTCTCCCTCAGCTCCCTGATGGCGGCCTCCAGCAGGGCCTGCTGCCTTGGTGGCACCTGCTGCAGCTGGTCTATGGGCTGCTTCTGCCGCAGCATCCGCTGGTACAGCTGCTCCTCCTTGGAGCCCAGGTGACTGCGGGCGTCCAGGTGCTCTTGTCGGCAGCTATGTGCATTTCCAGGTACCAGCAGAATCGGCCCCAGGGAGGCCACTAGCACGGCACCTTTTAGTCCTGCCCTGGCATCTGTGGGAGGTAGGACAGTGTCTGTGAGGACAGGCAGGAGGACCGACTACATCCCAGCCAGGAGATGCAGGGCTCAGACTCTCAGTCACAGGCCCCCATGGCGTCTTTGTCCCAGAGCCTAGGAGTTGGGTCTCCCTCTGCCTCGGACCCTGACTCCTACCTGGCAACTGCCAACTCCAGACCCCTCTGTGTAGTGTGGGCCAGTCAGTGCCACCACAGCACTCAGGGCATTCTGACCTGTCCTTCCTGCCATCACACAAGGCAGGCTCTTGGCCTCACAGGGGGTCTCAACGGCCCATTTCACAGACTAGGAAAGTCACAGCCCAGAAGACTGAATTGTTATGCCCCAAGAATACCCCAGGGTGGAGGGGAGCTGATGGCCGGCAAACCCTGTACCCTCTCACAAATTTCTTGGTGTACAGCAACTTTTCGTGGGCTTGCAGTGAAGACATGTTGGAATGATAGGTGATAATTGGAGATGATAGGAGACTCGCTCAGCTCCAAGACTGGGGAATGTTACCCAGAACCCTTCCACTGTTACAGAGACACAACTCGAGCCTGGCCGGGCTCACGCCCGGCCACCCCACAGCCCTCAGACTCCAGGCGTCACTGCGCCCGCTTCTCTCACCCCAGCTCAGTCCCCTCGGCCCACACTCGCATCCGCAATTGTTCTCCGGGTTCGCCCGTTGTTCCTGGAACCTCCTGCCTCCACCTGTCCTTCGAAATGTTTTCAACGATGTGGCTGTTTCAGGGGCACCCAGAGGCCGGTAAACCTGAGAGGAAGCAGACAGTCAAGGACCCCAGACCTTCAACCCCACCCAAATTTCATGGTCCACAGCCCGGACTCTTGGTTCCTCCTGCTCATCTCGGGGGCTGCTCATTTCTCACCGCCATCTGCTGCTCCGGGCCCCTTAAAAAGTGGATTCTTTCCTGCTTTGGACCCACTGGAGCCCTCCTGGCAGTGCTGGCAGGGACACGAGGGACAACTAGAAACAAGCGTTCTATGTCCCGGCCCTAGAGCTCTCTGCATTTTCAGGGTCGTAACATTCCGGGGAGTGGACAGCTGACCCCATTTCCTCTGGCTGCCCGCAGAGCAGGACACAGGTGTGGAGTGACAGGGAGACTCGCCCAGCTCCTGCTCCCAGCCTGTCTCCCGTGTCACAATGCCCCATTCACAGGGCCCCTCCCTGGAAACTCGAAGTCAGTCCTCCCCGACTTGCCCTCCTCAGACATCACAGACTTCAAGCTCCTGGTGCTGTGCACCAGCCCAAATCACTCAACTCTTAAGGATGACGCTCTAAATTGCAAACTTCTGCCTTTATCAGATACACTTGATGTTTTAAAATTCTGTTCCTTCAGCTCGCTCTTTCTGTCCCAAACAATAGGGGAAGGGTGTTTTTGCACAGTTAAACCCACTGCCAGGAGGGTCTGTGGTGAGGTTTCTGGGAGTCGGGACCCTGCTTTGACTCCCCAGCTCCTCAGTGATGCCCTGAGCTCCCACCCCCATTGTTTCCTGAGCTGGGTGGGCCAGTGTCCAGCCACCCAGCTCTTTGGTCAGTGCGAGCCCAGGAGATCCTATTCTGGTGGCAGGAGGAAACAGGGCCTGGAGAGAGGGTCTCTGGGGACTCCCATCCCAGAGTCCCGGGAGACCCTGGCGAGGACAGAAGTTGCTGGAGGACAAGACTGCCTGAAAACGTGGCTGTCAATGGGCGGAGGCTTTATCCTGGGCCTCCTGGCCACACACTGACCAGTGCAGAACCAGCGCATGGCCCAGGGTTGGCGGGTTAGCACCGACCTAGCACTTTTTCTTCCCATCTTTTCATGCTCTGCCAATTTCCAATGATCCCCTAGGGAAAGGGTCAACATGCAGAAGGTGCAATGGGGCCACTTCTCCCTTAAGCCTCCTTGAGAGAGGGTGTCCCGAGGGGCGGGGCCACGAGCATTTCTATTGGCAGGGATGTGGCCGTGGCCTCAGGACACTCTGAGTGATTC